TTTTTTTTTTTTTTTTTTTTTTTTTTTTCATTTTCCAATCTCTAAAAATACCTTACGAGTTAGAGACTAAATTTTAGGATGAACTAAAAAAAAAAATATAGAAAATTTTGGTGAGGGGTAAAATTGTCCTTTTGACCCTGGCCTAATCAAAAGCTTAAGCTTAGTGAAAAGACGGAAAAGTAAAGTCAAAGTTTCACCCGAGATCCTTCACAAGAGATGCTCGTTATACATAAATAAGCTCTTGAATAGTTGAAATCCGTCCAAAAATTATGAAATTTGAGAGTTAAAGAGTTACGAGTTTTGGGTTCTTGTTCTCGATTTTTACTTAGATCTACGTAGATTTAGGTTTTGAATTTATAGTATATTATTCTTAGAGGAATTTGCAGTGAAGGAGATCGACGTATCGATGTGCATCAAGAATGATGAGATTTACAGTTTTGGACTAACTTTGGACGTATTTATTTCAACCTTTAGTTAATATAATTATGAGAAAAAATATTTTTGAATTCGAGTTGGTCTAAAACTATTTCATATCTCTCCACTACCTTTTCCACTTTGATACATGTACCATCGAGCTAGGCATAAGGTGAATATGGTACTGTATATGTGCCCCAACCTTGTTGAAAAGGGTTAGGGGTCTCCTGAACAAGGTCATTGTGTTGTAATCTTTAGATAAAAATATAGGGGTCTCCCGAACAAGGTCATTTTGAAAAAATTCCCACTCTTTTCAGATTTAAACCATAAAATTAGGATAAAAATATAAGGAAAAAATTAAAACTTATTCTTAAAACTTATCAATGTTATACATATAAGTGTTGTAATCTTTAAAAAGCTTGAACGAAACATTACAATTTATAAGTCATACAAATAAAACACAAAACACACGTAAAGCTCCAAAAACAACTCCAAAAGAAAACCTCACAATGAGTCTTTATCGAGCATGACAAAGCAAGCTTAAGAAATTTAAGATAGATATCGCGATCCGTTCTTACCTAGAGAATTTGATTATATATAAAACTTGCGACACTTATTCTGCTCTAAGTTATGGAGCAGAGCATCACACCGGAGCCTAACTTAAATTACAGATTTGAGCACAATAAATGCAGCTATGTTACAGAAGTGTTATAGAGATAAAATGTTGCAGGCTACTGGCAACACATATGAACATTATAATAAATCACACGACATGTTTTCCAAAGTATTACCCAAGTACTAGATAACATTGAGTCAATGAGACAGAGAATGGGTCAGAGTGGTCAATAACTCCTCCATATTAACGCCATACCATCTGACTCACTCAGTATTCAATTCTTCTGCAACACATTCAGTTTTTCAACTAATTCACTCTACCTCCTCACGCATTAATTCACCACCACTACGCTTTATCTTCTCTTCTAAATCTTTGTCTTCAAATCTAAAACCACTTCTAACAACATTCTCAACCAAATCTCACAATCTACCATCATTTTCGGGAAGTTGATGTTTGGTTGTGTGATGAAAGCATCAATATGAATATGATTCGACAAGAAGCCAACTATGAATGAACAAAAACTACTTTCGGATGAAAGCGATTTTGAAGATAGGATGAATAAGAAAGGCTTCAAAGAACTGAAAGCTATTACCCATACCAATAAGGTGCACCTTTCAATTATAGGAACTCGAAGACTAAATGTGCTCTATGTTAGATGACTTTCTGAAAATTTTACTCGGATGCATGTGAGTTAGAACAAAATATGTTGAAAGAACTCGAATGAATCTGTGAGAATAGTTTTCACTCTTAAAAGCGAAAAGTAAATAACCGTAGTATGTTGTGGGAAATACAAGAAAATGTTCTAAGTTATCGGGTGATTGAACCCAAATTTTGAAGAACCATTTTGGTTTAAGCCTTCTGCAGCACTCCAAGTTCTATACCTACTTCCAAGTGCTGTTTTGTATACCCAAAAGTTCAGCTGGCATCACCAAATAGGCTGAGAATAGCACTAAATGTGTAGCAGGGGTTTCATCTTCACAGTCTTGGGACCATTGAAGAAGCTTAGAATTTGGATTATTCCAAAAGCAAAAGAAGATATTTGTCATTTAGGTGAGGAGTGAAGTGCAGTGAAGTTATTAACTCCGCCCCACTTCACTCATTGTTCGGTCGTATGTCTTTCCAACTAGTTCTACCACTTATTAACTCTAACTCTAACTCTAACTCGAACTCGAAACGATCCCCAACTTAATCATTCTAATTTCAACTCACATTTATCGGCTTTATCACCTTACCTTCCTCCTACCTTTCTCTTTTTAATTATTAGATGTCTAATAGATTCTCGACATATTATATATTTACCTAAATAAAAAAAAAGAGTAACAGTCAGATTGCACAATCAAATCTAAAAACGAAATAGCTCAAATCAAGGAGGCATTAGAGATGAGGGTTCAGGTTATTGCAGGGTGCAATATTATCTTCCTTTTCTAGGCATTGGGTTTCCATTATTACAATGAAAAGCAAGGGGAAAAGATGGCAGGAAGAATACTGGACTGTTGTGTACTTGTACATCAATGGAAAAGGCAAAGCCTCCACCATTAAAATACACCATAGCTAACTTAACACACACACTGGACCAAGCAGATAGGCAAAGCTTTCAAGCAGGGAAACAAAAAGCTGAAGCATAAACAAGTAGTAGATAAAAACAGAACATATAGAATACTCGGGAATGAAGACACCTGATGTGATGCTTTCAGGATTCTTCTTCTTCTTCTTCTTCTTCTTCTTCCCACTGTATGAGCCAGCCATTGAGAAAGGAACCCAAATTCTGCTCCCTGCAAGCAAGCTTCCACATTAGCAGCAAAGCAATGGCGTGGCTACTTAACTGGCTTTATTAGTTGATATATAGAGGAAGTCCTGTTGAAAGAAATTTTCAGGTCAATCAATGATGTCCAGGACGAAACATGGGATTTGTGAACTGGGTTTTGATGTAATGTAGTATCTTACAGAGTAGAGAGAGAGGTTTGAGCTTTTTTTAGCAGATTCAATGGCGGGAGTTGGAGGAAGCAGAGGATGGTTTTTCAGAAATACCATCGTGTTCCTCTTCGCCCGGGATCCGCGCCGGAATTAGAAACCTGGGGAATCCGCCAGAGGCGAATCCAAGACCCGGAAATGTGGATTGGTAGATCGACGGTGGAATCGGATGCTGTTGATTGTCGAAGAAGGTAATTGACGGGTCTATCCAAGCGCGGATCGAGGGCGTGTAACTGGACTGAAGGGGTCCCCTCTGAGAAACCAACTGGTTTTCTCCGAACAACGGTTGCAGAATCGGCGACGGCGGTGGCGGCTGAAAGCTTGAGGTTGTTGGCTGTGAGTTGTATAAGAATTCACCATTAACACCTCCGTCTACGCCGCTAAGATCTGCATTCACCGTGTTCCAATGCAAAATCCTCTGGAGTCGGCCGATTTCCATAGCCGATTGGGGATGCTGCTCCGACCATCCGTCGAAGCCAGCCAATGGTGTTGATCCAGAGAAAAAGGGATGGTCGTTTTGATGATTTTGAGCAATTGAATGTTGAGTTCGTTCGGATTCGAGCTTTGATATTGATCCTTCAAAAGACTGTAAGGAAAGCCTTAGATCTTGCGCTCGGCTACTGGTTCTAGAGAGTAAATCCGGCGGAAACGCGTCGAACTCAAAAATTGACGAGGGCGTCTCTGCAGCAGCCGTCGTCGTCGTCGGTAAGAACGATTTGACGGTGTTGACGATCGAATCCGAATCGAAAGATGGTGGAAGAAAACTGGAGTTATCGCTATTAGGGTTATCTTCCGTGGAACCATTCTGCAAATTCTTCATGGTACATTCGGAAACTCCGCCGTTGCCGGCCACAAAATTCCTAGTTGTACTCCCGTCCGGCGGGTGAACAGCAACCGGAATTTTGTTTTCGCTGTTCTTCTCATCCTTCTGCGTTGCCGATTTCTCGCTGCTCGTATTCAAACCATTTGGATTCCATCCAGGAAGCTCTCGAAGCTTGTCTATGGCGGGTTTGGCCTTCTTGATGAGCCAGTCGACGGCCTTACTCGGCCGGTCGTAGCCGAGACGGTCCTGCACATCGTAGAACTCGATGGCAGTATGGGCGGAGAGTCTAACACGACGGTCCCTCGGGCCTCTCGCCGTGCAAACTTTGCTGTGACGG